AGCATTCTTCTTAGACCTGGAAATGACAATACAGGAATTCATATGGAAACATAAACGGCCATGAATCACCAAAACAATCCTCAGCAAAAACAAAAAAAAGCAGGAGTTATCACACTCCCAGACTTTAAACTTTATTATAAAACTACAATAATCAAAACAGCTTGGTATTGGTATAAGAACAGGCATATAGACCAATGGAACAGAATAGAGATTCCAGAAGCAAAACTTCAAATCTCAACCAACTCATCTTTGATAAAACCTCCACCACCAAGCACTGGGGAGAAGAGAACCTATTCAGTAAATGGTGCTAGGAAAACCGGCTGACCACATACAGAAGATTAAAACAAGAACCCTATATATCACCATACACAAAAATCAACTCTAAATGGATCAAAAAGTTAAACATAAAACCTGAAACTGTAAGAACCTTAGAAAATGCAGGAGACACTTTATGGAAATTAGAACTGGCAACCAATTTCTGATCAAAACCCCAAATGCCCATGCCATAAGAGATAAAATAGACAAGTGGGACCTCATCAAACTGACAAGCTTCTGCACAGCCAAATAAACCATCAAGAGAGCAGGGAGGCAGCCTACAGACAGGGAAAAAATATTTGCCAACTGTATGTCTGACAAAGGTCTAACATGTAGGATCTACAAGGAACTTAAATGTGCCAAAAAGAAAAAAGCAAACAGCTCCAATTACAAAGTGGGCAAAAGATATGAATAGACACCTCTCAAAAGAAGACATATGAGCAGACAACAGATACTTGAAAAAATGCTCAGCCTCACTAGTCATCAAAGAAAGGCAAATTAAAACTACTGAGACGCCTCCTAACTCCAGTCAGGATGGCCATCATCAGTAACTCAACAACAGATGCTGGAGAGGATGCGGTAATAAAGGAACACTTCTAAACTGTTAGTGGGAGTGTAAACTAGTACAGTCTCTGTGGAAGACATGTGGTGATTCCTAAAAGATCTAAAATTTGACCTTCCATATGATCCCACAATCCCCCTACTGGGAATATATCTGGAGGAACTCAAATCATTCGATGAAAAAGATACTTGCACATGTATGTTTATTGCAGCATTGTTCACAATAGCAAGAACATGGAACCAATTGTGCTGCTCATCGAAAGAGGACTGGATTAAAAAAATATATGGTACATATACACAATGCAATATTATGCAGCCATAAAGAAGGACAAAATCATGAACTTCACTGCAACCTGGATTGACTTAGAGTCTATAATACTGAGCGATCTATCACAGAAACAAAGAACTGAGAATCACATGTTTTCACTCATAAGTAGACCATTGACAATTATCATCATACTATAAGAAAAAGATTGGCAGTAGTGGGAAACTGCCAAGGAGGAGGTGGGGGGAAGGGATGTGGGATTGGGAGTAGTGGTAATCTGCCAGGGGACGGAGGGGCACACCTTATCAACAAGGGTACCTACATAATGAATATATGTCTAACCCTGAATTGTACCTCACATCTTCAAAATAAAGAATACATAAATAAATAAATAAAAAGGATGCTCAGGCCTTACCTAATTAAAGTAGAATGTCTGGGAGTCAGGTCCTGGCTTTGGTAGCTTTTAAAAGTTGCATGGGTTATTTTAATATGAAACCAGGGTTATGAGTATAAACTAGGAAGTCTCCAGTATAGACACAGCTGAGGGCTCTTTGGAAGTCTGTTGGTAGGCGGCTGGCATCTAGCTTGACATGCTTATCTTCAGACAGACAAGGTATCCTTCTCCAACACGTCCAACTGGCCATATTAAAAATTCATGGTTGCCATAAAAAAGAATGAAATAATGTCTTTTTGTAGCAACTTGAATGGAACTGGAGACCATCCTCCTCAATGAAGTAGTGTGTGAACAAAAAACCAAATACTACATGTTTTCACTTATAAGTGGGAGCTAAGCTAAGGGTCTGAAAGGCATATAGAATGAACATTGAACATTCTATGTGGACATTGGAGACTCAGAAGTGGGAGGGTGGGAAGGTGGGGAAATGAAAAGTCACCCATCAGGTACAATGTGGACAGATGGGAGTGATGAGTACACTTAAAGCCCACACATCTTCCCCACTATAAAATACATCCATGTAACCCTAACCCTTTTGTACCCCTAAAGTTACTGAAATAATAAAAATTTTAAAATTTAAGACTTACAATGCAGATAAGCCTTAGAAGGTTTGTGAAGCCCATGGATTCACATGCTAAAATTTATGCAGATGGGCATGTGTCCACTTTTCTAGAGAGACAGCCCCCAGTGTCACTAGATTCACTTTATTTTCTCCTCCACTCTCTTGTTTTAATTATTTACTCATTCATTCCTTTTTTATCCCCATGTCCTGTTCCCATTCTTATGGTTAAAGTATGCTAAAGTGTATATTTTTGTTTGCATATTTTTGTTTTGCGTGTATCTATTTGTAACTTACATGAATGATGTGCTCTTATTCAGTGCTATGCTTTTAAGATCTATCCATGTTGGTTTGTATACATCTAGTTCATGGCTCCCAGCTGCTACATCCTACTTCATGGGGTTCCCTGTGTCTACTTCCCGGATGATGGACACCCAGAATGTTTCTAACTCTCCCCAGCCACAAACCATGCTGCTGTGAGCAGCTTCATGAATGTCCCCTTACAAGCCCACATGAGAACTTCTTGGGAAATATACCCAGAAGTAGAATTGCTGGATCATGGGGGGGTACATATATTTCTTTTGGCTAGGAAGGTCTGGGCTGCTCTCCAGAATGGCTAGATTCCCATCACCTTCACTGGATTCCTGAAGTGACCAGAGATCTCCCCTGTGCTAAAGTGTAAAAGGCGCTGCCATAATCTAGACTGGGTCCTTAACCAACCCTCAACACTGCTCGCCTTTCCAGTTTTCTTCTCATGAGTTTCTACCTTTTCCCCCAGTCCCTGTGGAAGCTGTAGTAAACCTTCATCACCACCCTCAAGTCTCTTATCCTATCTGAACCTTTTTTTCACAGAGAAAATTGAGGCCTTTAATTTTCTTCCTCTACTTCTCAATGTACCAGTGTCAGCTCCATCTTGATTTTCCATCCATGCTTCCTCCCCCAAGGGCCTAGCTTTGATTCCCTACCAACCTATCTTTCAGAGGGCTTGCTGTGTCAGTCTTCCTCCTGTTTCTCTGCCTTTCCCTTGCCGCTACTTGCTTCTGTGGCCTATAATCTTGGTCAGTTCTTTCCCATCCGGAAACCAACTTGCTTCCTCCTTAAGCTACCTCCCTTTGCTCTTGTCAAAATGTTTTTCATCTAAAACCCACTTTTTGAGTGCATTGTTTACAGCCTTCTCTGCTCCCTCCATTTGCTCCTTCAAGCCCAATACTCCCTTCAATAATATTCCAGTTGCCAAATCCATGTGCCCTTCCCAGCTCCTTTTTTTTTTTGGAGAGATAGGGTCTTGCTATGTTACCCAGGCTGCTCTTGAACTCCTGGGTGATCCTCCTGTCTTGGCCTCCAAAAGTGCTGGGATTACAGGCTGAGCCACCATATCTGGCCTCCCTCTGCTTCCCTTCCCTTCTCCCTTCCCCACCCCTCTTCT